ATACACCTGAAAATAAATACTGCTGCCATTTCTATAACAGTTTAAATCTCTATGTAATGCTACTTTTTGAATGTTGCACTGGCAGATAAACATATTGATTTTTTTGTCTGGACTTTATTTAATAAGATACATTTTGTTAATTATTTAACCTTTGGAATCTTTGGAAGTTTGGAATCTGGGGGAATATTTTAGGATTATGGAGTAAGTGTTCATTAAATCATTAATTGTGGTGTGTTTTCTTTGTTGTGCAGCCATTCTGAATGAGCTGCTGCAGCGAGAGAACCGAGTCCTTCACTTCTGGACGTTGAAGAAGCGAAGGCTGGACCAATGTCAGCAGTACTTGGTGTTTGAACGCAGTGCCAAACAGGTCAGTGTGTATGAGAGTGTATGTGTATGTGCTTTAGTGAAACAAGATGAAAAAGTTCTGGCTGGAGTTAAGTAGGGAGTAAACTGAGTGTGTGTGTGTGTGTGTGTGTGTGTGTGTGTGTGTGTGTGTGTGTGTGTGTGTGTGTGTGTGTGTGTGTGTGTGTGTGTGTGTGTGTGTGTGTGTGTGTGTGTGTGTGTGTGTATGTGTGTGTGCAGGCATTGGATTGGATCCAAGAGACAGGTGAAGTTTACCTGGCAACACACACATCACCTGGTGAATGCAGCGAGGAAACACAGCAACTCCTCAACGACTACCATCACTTCAGACTCAATGCCAAGGTACGCAGTGTGTGTGTGTGTGTGTGTGTGTGTGTGTGTGTGTGTGTGTGTGTGTGTGTGAGTGGTGTGTGTGTGTGTGTGTGTGTGTTAAATATATTTATTATTGAGCCTAAGGGACTGCTGGGATCATCAATCAAGTAGAAGTACTATTTAAAAACGGTATCTCTAGTGTAACTGTATCTCCTTGTACATAATCAAGACTCAATGTTAGTGATGCCCTTACAGTATAAACTTTGATTTAATCTTAAGTGTTAGTCTAAATAAGACATGAAAGTTCTTTCTGGGGCCAATTCGATTTTGACTTTTAAAAAATGAGAAAATAGTCAATTAAATCCAATATTCTAAATTCATGTATGAAATGAACAGGTAATAATTTATCACCCCATATAGAAAAAGCTAAATGAGTGATGTCACACACTAAAACAGGGTTTAGTCTGTTTTACTTGCCGTCAGAAGGAGACTCAGAACATCAGTAAATCCTGCGGTGTCTAATCAGTGTTTGTGTGTTTACTTCCGGCAGCAAACCAAGGAGAAGGTGAAGCTTCTGATCCAGTTAGCGGACAACCTGGTGGAGAAAGGCCACGCCCACGTGTCGGAGCTGAAGCGCTGGGTCAGCACGGTGGACCGCCGATACCGAGACTTCTCCCTGCGCATGGGCAAATACCAGGAGAGCCTGGAGAGAAGCCTGGGGGTCAGCTCTGAGGTACACACTCATTACACTGTAGTTTCTTCCCTTTTACTCCATATTTTTGTTTCAGATTATTGATTAAAAGATATATGTATGTTCCTTTACGCAGGACAATAAAGACTTGGAGTTGGATATTATTCCTGCCAGCCTGACAGACGACCCCGAGGTCAAACTGCGTGACCCCAACCCCGAGGTCAACGAGGAGAAGAGGAAGTCTGCCAGGAAGAAAGAGTGAGTGCAGGAACAAAGTTAGGAAGAGCATGACAGAGAAAAAAGTCTTTACACAATGAGAACTTCTTAAGTAGAAATTACAAAAATGTCACCAAAACTGCGACACATGTAAGGTATAAGAAATGCTATTTTAATTCAAGCGTCAAAGTTGTTGTTTGTAAAATAATAGACCTACTGTGCAGCATGGCCCAAACCTGAAACACATGGAGTATGTAACATGATGCAGTAATGTACCCTATTTAACTAAATTAATTCATATCTACTCCCAAATGAGTGTCTTCTCAATCTGTTGTTATAATAGTCATCATCTGCTTCCTACAGTCTTCCAACATTTCTATTTTTAAAGACATTAAAGAAAACATAATTATGTTTAAAGTTTAATGATGTCCTCTGAAGCGTCTGAAATGGTTTTGTCTTGACATTTTACGAAGAAAAGAGGAACATCTGTATACTCATCTGACCTCTGTATAATATATATATATTATTTATTTATTTATTGTTTTATTTTGGATTATTTATTTTTTTGTACTTTGTTATAATTATTATTATGAGTGAGAAAAAACAAGAAAGAAAATGAGATATATATTTATTATTATTATATGTTTTGTTTTGTTTCTGACATGTTTTAAATAAATAAAATTAAAAATTAAAAAAAGAACGTAATGCATAATTCATGCCAGCTGATCCTCGTGATGTTTCCCTCTAAATGTTTTTCTTGTCTCAGGTTCATCATGGCAGAGCTGCTGCAGACAGAGAAGACCTACGTCAAAGACCTCCAAGAGTGTCTAGAGGTATGGAAACAGTTCTGCTTGTCCGATTCTGTTTTGAAACCACACATGTTTTCCTGTCTACCTTACCTGCCTGTCTCTCTGTCAGAACTACCTGTGGGAGATGACCAACGGCGTGGAGGAGGTTCCTGCCGCCATCGCTAACAAGGAGCACATCGTCTTCGGCAACATGCAGGCTATCTGCGACTTCCACAACAAGTGAGAGACACATACAATGTTTATGTAATATGATCCAGTGGGAATCAGGTTTTGCTATACGTGGTCCATGTTTATCACTGAGACCTTTCTGAAACAACGTGGGAAGATACTAGCGTAGCAAAAACCCTGGCCTGTTGCTGGATATGCTTTGATTCTAAGCCTTGGAAATGCACTTCATTGTCAGAGCTTTAAAAACTCCCAAGGGTAACTTTTTTTTCTTCTGATATGTTACCTGAAGGGGAGCTGAAGAAGCATCTTTGAGGTCTTCCTTCAAAGACAGCTCATGTTCTCCTGGAGTTTTAGATCTTAAAGGAGCTTTTAACCTGCTTATTCTTTTGGGGAAAAAATACATTCTTAGTGGTCTGGACATTTTGTTTTACTGTCAAAGAAAGCCAGATTATTCCCTACAGTCACTTTATATTTAGACTGTGTCAATTATCAGGGTTTTCTGCAGCTGATCCATGTTAGAAAAAAGTCTACATTATGATCTTTTGCTTATGTGTTTGCAGTATTTTCCTGAAGGAGCTGGTGAACTATGAGCAGCTTCCAGAGGATGTGGGTCACTGCTTCGTCACCTGGGTGAGAGTCGGCCTTCATTCCACATGTTGTCAAACCAATATGTGTCCTTAAAAGTCCTAATATGGATTTAAGCTTGAATAGAGCATACAACAATGACCCTGTAAAACCTTATCTCCCCTCCCCTCCTGTTTTCCAGGCTGATAAGTTCCACATTTATGTTGATTACTGTAAGAACAAACCGGACTCCAGTCAGCTCATACTGGAACATGCCGGCACCTTCTTCGACGTGAGTAATCCCGTCATCATTCTGCCACAGACTTTTACATAATTTCATCCAACAGCTAACATCATTGTCTCTTTCAACCACCTCCTAGTAAACTGACCCAATCTGGGCTTCTCTAAAGCTTCTTAACACAAACGTTCATACACAATTTACTCCTGTAAATGCTTACTTCTGTAAGTTTCAGGATACTAATCTGATGTCTTCACTAACACCTGAAGCAGTATAATATCATGCTCATTGGGATGCCTCAGTATAAAACGCAGCGGATAACCCAACCAACGCTTGATACAGAGACATCTGTATGATGGATGCCTACTGTGGAACATGGAGATAAACAGGGGTCTAATTTATCATTTTAATTTAGCACTCCAGTAGTCAGGCAGATTGCTTAGACTTGGAGGGGAAATTGTTTGCGTGCAACTGCTGCTTTTTAATTTCCCTCCTGCAGCTGGAGATGGGGATGATTGTGAGACTCACCTCCTGTGTCACTAGGTGGTGCTGTTTGGTCATGAAATAGTTTAGATTCCCATCTATTGAACATTTCTCAGTTATGACAATTGCTCTAATGTTGAACTAGTTTAGGATTTGCTGTAATGTTCTGTCTGTGTATAAACAGGAGATTCAGCAGAAACGTGGACTGGCTAACTCCATCTCCTCCTACCTCATTAAACCGGTCCAGAGGATCACCAAGTACCAACTACTGCTTAAGGTTGGTACACAGACACAGCATCAAAGTTTAGATTACACAAATCAATTTAGATAACCAATGCTTTTCTGCTCTGTTTCACCCCCTCATTATATCTGATATCTTCTCCTCTCACTTTGCAGGAGTTACTGTCATGTTGTGAGGAGGGAAAAGGGGAGATTAAAGATGGTTTGGAGGTGATGCTCGGTGTCCCTAAGAGAGCTAATGATGCCATGCATCTCGCCATGATGGAGGGTAAGAAACTGTCCATACTGAATAATTGTAAAAATTACATTTGTTCTTATTACAATTTATAAAATGTGTCTTTAAAAATATGTAAACATAAAGCATTTTCAGATGTGTTGCATTTTCTTTCCCAGATGTTTTAACTTGATTTAATGACTAACAACATTTTCAAATAGACATAGTCCCTCATGTTTTTTTCTCTATGCCCCCTGATGATTGTCTGTATGTTCAGACTTTGAGCAGCTCAGTTGATATCAAGTCTTGTCCCTCTCGTCCTCAGGGTTTGAGGAGAACCTGGAGGTGCAGGGCGAGCTGATCCTGCAGGACAGTTTCCAGGTCTGGGATCCACGCTCGCTGATCAGGAAGGGGCGGGACCGACACCTCTTCCTGTTCGAGTTCTCCCTGGTCTTCAGCAAGGAGATCAAGGACTCAGCTGGAAGAACCAAGTACCAGTACAAGACCAAACTACTGGTGAGTGTGTGTGCTGCCATGCATGGTTTTAACATGTTCATCGCTGTGTCTGTTTGCATGCAGTAATAACTTCTGTGTGTTTTAATAAAACAGATGGTTATCTGTCACTGACTTACATATCTGTCCTGCAGACATCGGAGTTGGGGGTGACCGAGCACATTGAGGGCGATCCATGTAAATTTGCACTTTGGGCAGGAAGAACCCCCTCCTCTGATAACAAAACGGTGCTAAAGGCAAGTCAATTTACATTTAAATGAAAAATCTACTGTCCTATGATTAGATGTGTCTGTTCTGGTTTGCTATCATCAAGAACTTTTTATTTAAGGTTAACCATAGTTCTCTCTCCACCAGGCGTCCAATATGGAGGCTAAACAGGAGTGGATTAAGAACATCAGGGAGGTGATCCAGGAGAGGATGACTCACCTGAAGGGGCCGCTCAAAGAGCCCCTGCATGTGCCCAAAACACCAGCAATGACCAAACCAAGGAATAACGCTAAGAGGTAAGCAAGGACTCACAAACACAATTTACACTTATATAAAAAAATCATTTTGGATGAAGAAATGTGTGTGTTGACGTTTGAGATGCTCATAAGCACACATCAATTTAGTCAATACCTGGTATGGTACATTTACAGTAGGGAGAAAATGTCTAAATGTGGTGAATAAATTCCTTAAAAGACAAACATTTTCACTTGTAGTCACTATGATAGGAAAGTACATCTCCACAAGTTGTAAGGGAAAGAAAAAGTATATAATAAAATAATATTTTTGTAACAAAATTGGTGTCATTATAGTATTTTTCCCAAACACGGCTGCCCTATAGAATTGCAGATTATTGCCTACACAAAACTGATCCTCACTGACTGTATAAATGCTCTTAAAATTCAGTGAAATGTCCTGCATTATTCCTGGAACTTCCTGGCATTAAGGACTTGACTTTTTTCCCACTTCTACTGTTGCCACAACTAGAAACATAATGATTGTAAACAGTGGCACTGTGCGCAGAAAGTTTATCACGTGGTAAAAAATGTCATCACAGCAGATAAGATTTAAAACAGTGTATGCACACATGATAGTATTCAATAAATAAATACAAAAAATTAAATAAAAAATAGTATTGTCCCATCTGTCATTGTCTAAGTGTTGTCACATTCTAACACTGAAAGGATGTGAGATGGCCATAGATTTAATCAAAGATATTCTGATTGTGTGTTCAGGGAAGGAGGAGAAGATGGAGACAGTCAGGGAGACGGCAGCCAACCAGATACCATCTCCATCGCCTCCAGGACGTCCCAGAACACTGTCGACAGCGACAAGGTAGGAAACACTCACAGTTCACCTAATGCCAAAGGAAGGTAAAGGAGTTCCAGGCAGCTGATTGGCTCTGTGGCCCTTGATGAGCTGATGACCCACAGCTGTGTCAGCGCTACAGGGTCTCCCACTCAGCTACAATGGGTAGAAGCAGGGGCTGTGTTAGTGCCAGTGGCAGAAAGACTGTATACAGACTGTGTTTGTGCACATGTGATCTCTTAAACGAAAGGGAATCCCAACTCTGTGAAGGTTTACTATAAATTAAGATTATGTGTGTGTTAAAGTATGTGTGTATTTGATGTGTGTGTATGAGAGGAATCCAGCAATGTCAGTATATGAACAGAGGATAGGTCAGCGATGAGAAACCTCTTCAGGTGGTGTGCAGGCGTCTGTCCTGATGCCTCCTATCAACCACCATCTCACATCCAAGTAAGCCCACCTTTAATCCTTTTATTTTGACAGATTTAAGTGAAAATAGTAAGAAGGAAAACCGAGGTCCTGTGTTCTTTGTTTGCTTTTGTTTTTTATTGTGTGTCCTCTCTTAAAACCACCTTAAGAAATTATTGGGTTTAACGATAAAAGAGCTTCTTTAATAGTTGTTTAGGATCAGGGTGTACCGAACTACGTCTGTTGTCACCCCTCCTGTGTTTAAAAAGTACTTACCAATGCTCTAGTACTTTCTGACACATGTTTTTGGATATGGCAAACCAATAGTAATAGTTCAAACCTGAATTTGGTATTTGGATGTAGCTGAATTACATTTGCAAATATGCAACAAGTCAGTAAATGTGCAGTTGTTTTGGTGCTTTGGATTCCACAATTATATTTGTTGTTTTCAATTTGCAATGGTTGCTGTACCTCCCTTTTGACCGCTATACACACACACACACACACACACACACACACACACACACACACACACACACACACACACACACACACACACACACACACACACACAGAGATGTCTGTCATGGCCTCCCACTGTACTGTTACACAGTGTGGCCTTTTCACTGTGCAACCCCACGCCCACACTACACTGCCTCTAAATGTCAGAACCATGCACATACACACACTTCTTCGCTCAGTCAGAATGCCGTCAACAGTGAGGCTTGTGTGTGTGCTGTAGTATTTCCACTTGCTTCTTGATTTTATTCTAGTCTTTAACTTCCTATTTCTTTCAGATTTTAACATAAAAAACAATAAATGGACGTGAACAACTGATACCACACACAAACAGTAGAGCTGTACTGTAACTCTGTGCGTGATGTTTTATTGCATGTCCATGTTGGTCTCCCCACCTCTTCCTGTCCAATGAAAACATCATAATGAATTTTTCCAGCTTTTTTTGAGTGTGGGTGTGTTGTTGTTCAGCTCCAGTTTATTGTTTCTAGGATTTAGAGAAGACTCTAGCTTGCTTTTTTTGGATCCTCCTCTTCTGTTTTCCAGAAAGAATCAAAGAGAAAAGAAGTGCCTAGATTTGTTTTGATAAGTTTCATATTTCATACGCTGACACCGCAGAGCATGGCTTTCAATGTGAGCTGTATTTCTTTGATGTCGTTTTTTTCATAGAAGGGGCCCTATTATGTTAATTTTCAGCTTCATATTAACATTCTGTGCCTCTGTGACATGTCTCCATGCTTTAATGTTCAAAAAGCTCTTTATTTGTCTCATACTGCCTGCCTGTCTCTTCTCTTTCTCAGGATGGTGCTCTAAAATGTAAGAGAAAATTACAAAGCAATATCAGGGTGTCCACGGGGTCTTAAAAAGTATTAAAAGTTGATCAATCAATTTAGCGAAGATGAAGGCTATTAAAAAGTATTAAACGGCATTTTCCAAGGTATGACATTTTGTAGCTTGTTTTCAATAAGTATATAAATGGTCCAAAGAGGTTGTATTCTACAGTCTGCCTGAATGTAATCATTGCGTAGGTGTGTAGTGTAATTCTGTGTAGTTTATTTATGGCATCCCGTTGGATTTGACGTCATCTGAACAGGACATCGCGCGCTATCAAGCAGTGAGGGTGCGAGGTCCGCTTACGCCGGTTGTTAAACAACATCGTTATGGGGAAATGCAAGTTTGCGTCCAAATGGTTGGAAGACAAGGAGGAAGGACAATCAATACTGTATATAGTCAATGTGAGGTAAAGTGTGTCGCCAAGGTAACTGGTTAAAACTCCAAGTGGCGATGATGTCTTAAAATGTATGGAAAGGGTCTTAAAAGGTTTTACATTTGACTTCAGGATTCCTGCATATACCCTGTAATATCCCTTTTGACAAATTACGATCCTCCCTTTTCATTCACTTTGTCTACAGCACTTGTTTACTTTATCTTTGTTTGAGTACCAATTCAGACGATAACTGGAGGCATGTCTGGTTTGAGAGATTATTATCTTTCTCCCAGGAGGTTAGATGAGGCGGAGCAGTGTTTTTTGTCTTGCATGTGAAAGGTGGTGCTGCTCCTTTTTGCAGCGTTCCCAAGGCACTGCAGTATCTCCAGGGATGTTTATCATAAAGTATACTAATTCTTTGTGTATTCTGGAGTTAATAAGTCAATATATGCTATTTGTTCAGTCAATTATTGGATCAGGCTTGTTTGTTTAACGCTCTTGAGGTGTACCTTTTGCTAAATGTCTCTTTATACTGTAGAAGCCTTTCACTTTAAAGCTTTGGAAATGATTTTCCAATCAGCAGATTACTGTTTTAAACACAGCAAGACTAAACTTGAGGTGTCCCTTTCCAAATAGTTTGAATATAATGGGTTTTCTTTCCAGTTGTGACATTTTCAGTGAGTCACAATAAGCTCTTACACACATACAAGCCATTCTAGCCCTACATAAATTACTATATTAATGAAGAAAAAAGCGATATAAATTCCATAATGAAATCATTAACAATTTGTTTTGGTGGCCTACCGTTTTCTGTCTTGCCCTCTTGTTCTTGCCTCGCCTTTTTTTCTCGCCTCCGTTTTTCCTTGACTCGATGGACACACCTACCATTTGTTGCTCATTTTGCAGTCAAGCGGTCTTTTCTTCTTCCCTTTTCAAATTTAACATATTTCTCTCCGTCTCGCTTTTTCTGTCTCCCTCTCTCCCACGTAAACTATAATAACAACCCAGCATAGTCAGATGTTCCACTGTTTGTGTGTGTGTGTGTGTGTGTGTGTGTGTGTGTGTTGTGTGGTGTGGTGTGTGTGTGTGTGTGGTGTGTGTGTGTGTGTGTGTGTGTGTGTGTGTGTGTGTGTGTGTGTGTGTGTGTGTGTGTGTGTGTGTGTGTGTGTGTGTGTGTGTGGTGGTGTGTGTGTGTGTGTGTGTGTGGTGTGTGTGTGTGTGTGTGTGTGTGTGTGTGTGGTGTGTTTTCTGGTGGTTTTTGGACAAGTTTTATATGACGAGCCACCCCCCCCTCTCGTCGTCTTTGCAGAGTTTTGCTTTTTTCCTTCTCTCTGTCTCAATGAAACCTTGTTAGTATGCTTATAAAAAAACAGTAGTAGAGTAATTAAGGTTACTTCAAACCACCTCTCTCTAGGGCTGCTCGATTATGGCAAAAATCATAATCTCGATTATTTGGGTCAATAATTCACATCACGATTATTAAAAAACGATTATCCGTTTGCTTTGAAATCATCCATTTATTGAAAATAAATTGAACAGTATGTTTTTAACAGTTGATTACCCTGAACTTTAAGTAAAATTCAACTGAAAAAACAATTTTAAAAATAGTTTTATTTTGATTACGTTGTTTTCGTAATCGTTGCAAGCCAACATCGTAATTGCGATTAAAATACGATGAATTGAGCAGCCCTACCTCTCCTACTGTTTGAGCAGCAGGTTGACATTGAGCAGCAGGTTGACATTAAGCAGCACTTCCGACAGATTGAAGCTCCTCCTGAAGTATTGACAGCATTGTTATATCTTGCATCTTGTTGTGATCAGTGAGAAAGATTTGCTGATAGACAGAGAGGCTCTATGCATTTATGAATGAATTACACAAATACAATTCATGTATAGACCATACATTTTTAGACATTGATTGGGGGAATTAAAACACTTTTATAGATACATTCATTCCTAAACGGTGCAGGAGGACAATAAGGGACCTACGGTAACTACACTTGACATTGATGAATAGACCCAAATATATATATATATATATATAGCAAAGATTCTGACCTTTTAATTTAAACCAATTGTATAAGCAGCCAAAAACCACAGAAAAAAAATCAATAATGGTTAAACCAACCAGTTCTACATTGAAGTGACCTCTTGTGGTCATGTGAGTAATGACTGCTCTCTAATTAGCAAAGGTTAAAGTTGCAAAAGGTCAAAGCGAATGGCATAGCTTGTGACCATCCATCCATGTTTTCTTTTATTTATGAAGACAATAGCTCCCTAGCCTGTTTTAGAAATAGACCTTAACTTTAAAATATAATAATAATCCTTGTATTTATTATAGCGCTTTATCAAAGACTCTCAAAGCGCTTTACAAATACACATTACACATACAGATCATACATGTAATGGTCATCTACTGTGGACAATACCCACAAATATGTAAGGTCAAAGGAAATTATCAAACAATCACTGACGACCTATTTATATAAAAATACTTATTGTGCTACTGTCAACATTTTCCCTTCAGCTCTGTGTTGTTTGGGATTGGGCCAGTTCTCCAACATGGTGTTATGCTATTTGATAGCTATGTGACGTTGAGTGGAATATCTCTTTTCTGTGACGTTTCTTGGTGCAGTGAGTCAGCTGTGGCACAGTCTGTGGTTTTCACGTTATTTAAAGCATTGTTCCAGCAGTTGACAGCTGGCAGCCCGCATGGCTCCACCACAGCCCTGTAGGTCAGAGGACAAATACTGTTTTTAGCCTCCGCCTTCATTTGGAGTGAAAAATGTTGTTTCTTCTTTGAGCCATAACCAATAAAATCTACAAGCATATTTCTCCTATAGGACTGAACATGCATCACTGGCTGGAAAAGGTGCTCAGCAACCTCTGGATCCATGTTTATCCCAGTGGCTTGAATGAATTAAATAGTTCATGACGCCTCACTTGTGTCAGACTTTTTGGAACAACATTTGGACTACCTATGTTGCAAATGTATTATCTTTTCAATTTACACACGGCATCTATTGCACGTCTGTCCGTCCTGGGAGAGGGATCCCTCCTCTGTTGCTCTCCCTGAGGTTTCTCCCATTTTTCCCTTTAAACTGTGGGTTTTCTCCGGAAGTTTTTCCTTGTACGATGTGAGGGTCTAAGGACAGAGGGTGTCGTATTGTCATACTGATATTTTGTACAAACTGTAAAGTCCACTGAGACAAATGTAACATTTGTGATATTGGGCTATATAAATAAACATTGATTGATTGATTGATTGATTGACTTGGTCATCCAGAGGAATTATTCCAGCTTTTAAATCAAATCAAGTTTTATTTATATAGCACATTTTTAAAACGATTTTTGGTCGAGCCAAAGTGCCAAAGTGCTGTACATATAATAATTACCTTAAGTTAAAAGCCCACTAACACAGGGGATTAAAAAGAAACCCTTATTTTCTCAAATACCTCATGTGTATGTCTGCCTCTTTAATTCATATTACAACACATTTTCTATTTATGCAGATATTCATGTTTTCTAAATCCTAGTGACTTTGGAGATCTCTGACTTTTCCTCTAACTCCATCATTAAGCTGATATTTTTGACTGTGGAAATACTTTACATCAGAATGTTATCTTTGTCATTGTGAGCATGTCAGCAAGCTGTCATTAGCTCAACTCAAATGACTGTTCTTAAAGAGAGGCTCTAGTCGCGTTTGAATATAACTTTAACATTACAAACAACATGCCGTTAATGTCCATTGTGTTGTGTGGCACTAATCTAAGCGATGCATATCTCAAAATGCAAAACTAAACTGTTTTTATGGAAAGAAGATGTCATGTTTTTTTCTCACTTGTATTTTGGACAAACCGACCCTAAAACATTAAGCTCAGCCACCATTTAGAATCATTGCAAATCATTTCCATCAGGTTGTTCTTAATATCACATAGTGTAGCCAACCTAACTTCTATTATGCTTTACACGTGACATATTTGGCACTGCTGTCACATGGAAGTATCTAAAAGTAGTTCTGTAGTTGGATGCAGGCCATATAAACAGGAAATCTCCCTGACAGGTATCTTTAGCTAAAGTTGGCAACTCCTGGTTGGTTATTTCCCACTTTGAATCACCTCTATGTGGCTGTGACTTTTGAATGTACTCATACCTCACTACTAGCTTTTTAATGCAACCATCATGAGGAAAGACAAATAAATACTGGATATACGTTTACATAACAAAAGGGGCATCTTAACTATTAACTGATTCATATCTAATGTTTTATATTGTAGTGATTTTTTTTTGTATATACTGTTACACTGGCTTGCAATTGTTTACACGTGTATGTTCTCATGAATCAAATGCATTCAGTGTCGGGTTCAGACTGAAGCCGAACAGTAGCCATCTGCTGGTCATATGACTGTTGTGTCTCTCTCTCTCTCTCACACACACACACACACACACACACACACACACACACACACACACACACACACACACACACACACACACACACACACACACACACACACACACACACACACACACACACACACACACACACACACACACACACACATGCGCACACACAGGAAGAGAGGGAACACACACTCACAAAAGTAGCGCTGGTAGTTTAAAGTGTTTTAGTGACCCAGTAACTTCCAAGGAGTGGGAGAAATGTGAACACACACACACACACACACACACTCACTCACACACACCAGGCAAAGTGCAGTTGCCATCTAATACAAAGCCATGGCTGTTTGTTCAGAGGGAGAGAGAGAGGGAGAGACATTGTGAGGGCGTGTTTGTGTGTGTGGCTAAGACACAAACGAGGAGTTGTCAGAGACAGAGAGCGACAGCAGAGGAGACATCGACATGCCAAAGTGGATGAGCTTTAAACTGTTCAAAGCGAGCAGCAGAGTGAGTACTAACAGCTGGACCACACACACCACACACACTAGCTGATCTTCTGGCGGATCACTTTATACCTATTCACTGTATTAATGACAAACATGCTGCTTTACTATTACACTGTCTGGAAGGAGCTTGTTAGTGTTCCTGTTTAACGTATTCACTGTGCTGAATTAAACATCATATTGCTGCAAAAGGAATATAGTCAACTAACAGGTAAATGCAGTTATTTGTTTGAACAAAAAGCAACATCTTGCACTAGATCTTGTAAATTGCCATGCTAGCGTGATTTTAAAATGCTGGTAGAAACTATGTGTGTTAACAAACGTCTTGGTGTCGTAATAAATCAGGTACTTGGTTTCCAACCGTTGTTCTCTAAAGAACAAAGACCAATATGATACTTCTCATTTGAATATTGATGATATCTACTAATCCCAGTGTAATACGTTAAGATTCCGTATTTAAGAATAGGCAGACGCTCAGACAGAGGCCACTCTCTATATCTTCAGTTCACTCTGCACACAATCCTCACTTTTGACTTGATTCTCTGCATGAATGGAGCTGCTGAGAGGAAACCGGCTTGTGTGCATCGAGTTCTGTGTGATCTTCCTCTCAGACGTCCTTTCATGTTGACCTAATAGCTTGTACAATGCCACTTTAAAAGCAAAACCTCTCTCCTGTATAGAGACATTTTCTTCCTTAGAATTTTCTTTTATCTGAGATAAAGATTTGTTGAGGTTTAGTTCCTGCACTCCTTTGAGTGTTTGGCAACTGATTCAGATGCTAATCCAGATCATACGTGCTGTTGACTTTCACTTAGCCTTAAAAGCTGGACTGCAGAAGGGGGTGTTTTGGCTGTGTGTGTGTAATTGGATGGGTTAATGGTTAAACAGGGTGTGTGCGTGCCAAGCAGACAGACAGACAGGAAACGGGTCATAAGCTGCCACAGAATAACAGGATAAATCAAATGTGAGCATGGAGGTGGCTGAGTCGGTTTGATTCATATTACAGAGCAGACACACTGTAGTGTAAACGCTGTCATGCTGCTATCTGCTGACCAAATGCACCCATCCATAACGCTGCCCTCTGATAATATCAGATAGCCTTTCCACATGTAGTTTGGACTTTTACAGACTAAGATAAACATTTCAAAATGTAGAATAAATTCAGTTTAGTCAATAACTAGTTTTTTCTTGTCTGTTTGACCTGTATACAGTTATTTGGAAGGTACATTAAATGCTTTTGAAAAATCTAACTGTGATATTCTACAGTAACAACAAATTGCCAAATGTAGTGACTGTTACAGTATGCTGAGAATAGGGTTTGTCTTTAATTGCATGCACATCAATCTTATACTTGCAATGAAAGAGTAGAGTGCTGTTTGAAAATGGAGATTTCTCAGCTTCCAGAAAGCAAGATAGTTACACTGCCATCACATACTGTATTGTATATTTACACATCTAGCATTTCATTATCATCTCATATATGTATACAGTATAGTTTGCTCATAAAGAAGATGGTTGCGCAGTAGAAGTTGTTTAAAAAGTGTGTTTATGTGTTCTGTATGTTTTTCCTTAGACTCGTCGATGCCATTGTGGCGGCAGAGCAGCCATGTGATTACATTGTTTGCACTCTGCAGGGTTTCTGTTTCTGAATGAAATGCTTGGTTGGAGTGGTTTCTTAATTATCTGTGCAGTTGCTTTTGTTGTGTTTTCTTTAGTAATTGTTGCTGTTTTAGAGCAACAGGAAGTCGTAATGGTCACACTGGTTACTGTGCAGTACTTTTCAGCCATGGAGAAGTAGATGTCTTTACTCTTGCCACTTTATTTTCAGCCAATAAGATGCTGGACTGGTTTCTGTATCGCGCTACCATCACTTCTTAACTCATTATAACTATCACTTTAGCATCAGAGGCTAACGCAACCCTGTCACATAATGAGCCTCTGAATGTGTGCATTACGGTGCTGCTGCACACACACTGCAGCTGTCTGTACTCTATGTAAATAATATAATAATACTCCTATAGCTCTGCTTGGAATATGTTGTCTTCCCATTATGTTTTCTTCCTTGTAGAGTTGTTGATATAAAAGACAACATTGAGCAAGACACGCAGTTCTGCAAAAACACATTGACTGTCACTTCATGTGGATATAACAGAAAGGCATCCAAGGGCCTTTTGACACAAGGCATCAAGAATGATAGGAAGAGGTTATGAAGAGTAGTCCTACTTGATTGTTTCCAATGAATTCTCTTTTTTGTTTAGAAACTAAGAGCTGCAGGGGCCTCAAAAAGAGACCCTGCCCTCCAAACAACAACAACAACAAAACATTGTGTCCGTATAGAAAATAACTAGTGTTTAAGACTCCATTCTTAACCAATGAACAATTCTGCACTGAGAGAAGTTTTCCTGACATACAGTAGATGTACAATAAGAAGTACCCACTGTTCAGACATGGGACAGGAGGTGTTTTTCCATGAGTTCATCTCCAGGGTGCTGCATTCAGTTCTGCCATCACTGTTTTTGTACCTATATTTGATTCCCTCTGAAACACAAACACACCTTTTTATATGTTGCAGAGATATCCTTTATATTAGATATATGTATTTACTACTCTACAAAGCTAAAATATAGGTATGTATTGTGCAGAACAAAGTATGATGAGCCTAAAGACTGAATGGTTGTGTCTTTTATGTATGACGCATTAGCCTAAACTAAATCAATCCGGATTATGTTTCTTGTGTGTAAATGTTAGTTTTTCATGGACTATCCTTCCAATATTAGCTTATGGAAAGTAAAGCATGTTTTTATGGTCCTGTGTGGGTGATTCAAAACACTTTAAGTTGAGGGAAAGATCCTGGTGGTCTTTGAATAGTGAAAAAGTAAAATCTGACTTGGAAGACGGAACATGATCCTCACGGCCCGTCCACACAGCGGCTTTAGAAAAAGCTTGGAGGTGGGCGTGTCTGAAACTCGACCAACAACCAATCTCATGAATCTCCCGCCCCTGACACACAAGCAGCGGTTTGATTGGCTAGAGCTTGTACTGGCATATGATTCGATTGGCTGACGCTTCTGCCGAGGCTTCAAAAGTTGAAAATTGCTCAACTTTTGCAGCGAGCCACGCCAGCAACGCTCCACGTCGCTTCCCACAATGCAGTTCGGCGAAAAGTGACGTCACCCCATTCAAAGTGAATTGGCAGAAGCTTCCAACGCCGCTGTGTGGACGGGCCGTCAGTTCTTTAATGTTGAAGTCTGGCGCTGTGGTATGAGAATATGACACTTTCACTGGAAAACCATGTTTCCAGTGAATGTAAGTATTGCAAATGAGTTGCATATGACAGTAATTCCTTGGAGACGGGGTTGGTGGTCCCTTACTATCCAAAATATGTCCACGAAAGCAACATGCGCTGTCACTCTGGTTTGCTTTAGCAGTTTTCATCCCTGGAAAACAGAAGCCTGTAGGCTATGTCACAGCATGCCTGTCAAATTGGCAGATTTCTAAATAGACTATAGTCTCTTAAGCCCACTTCACAGGCTAATATGTATTCAATATGAAATTATGATACTGTCTTGTTTAATAACAAGCATGTCACTTCCATCTGCTCTTTAACCACTTTCCTATTCCTATTTCATAAATAGTTTAAAGGTGGGGCATGAATGAATTTGAAAACGCTGTTGTAAAAAACGCAAGGAAGAGTAGCTGCTCATTGATTATTAATTACCTACAGATGAAGTTTACTCACTTTCTATTTTCTTAACCTTTAAACATAATGACCCCCATGAAATTAAGACGAGAGTTTCTGGAAAACATCTTCAGCGGTGACGTCACGCTGCACTTCTAAGTGCGAACGAAATCCAACCAATTAAAACCATGACTCATTTTTCAATACCCCCGCTGTTCCTTCTGTTGCTGGAAACTTTTTTTGAATCTTTCTCTGGATAATGACTTATGACCTTAGTTTTCTGATGTTGACACGTTCAATTTGTTCTGCTGCTGAAAGAGATAGAGCGTGTGTCTTCCTCTGCTGTAACACCATCACAAGCTGCTGCGTGCATTACGTTTGTTTTCAGTGAACAGACATGGTCTTATGACAGACACAAGTAGAGCGAAAGACACACCCAAGAACACACACTAACACACACATGACCGTCAGTTGAGAGTGGTACTGACTGACTGGTTGGTTTATTATTTGGTTCATTCGCACTGCTGGCTGAAATCCTTGTAGGTCTTAAATCTAACCCTTTTCGCTTATTTCTCTTCAATGTTGATAAATGAATTGGTCTATCTGGATGTAAAAATGGTAAAGGAGACCACTGAGGGGCATGATATCCAATATACTTTATTTATCAAATGAAAATGTCTGTTAAGCTGTTAATTCACATGCAAGATAACCTGGTAACATTGAGCCCGGTTGAAAACTTGAAAAAATATCAACATGGAGTCTCAACTACCTGCTGTTGTTCGATCAGCTTCTAGTATTAATGTCAAACTTGTTTCCTCTTATGAATCCTGCACTCAATTTCATTTGATTTTCACACCCTTGTTACTACCAGTGTCACCCTGACACCACCAAATGGAGCGGATTAAATTATTATTAGTACACAAAGTTTGGTGACGTCATGATTCCCATTATAGCTCTGCCTTCTAGCTGAGTGGAGGTCTAATCAGGCAGAATAAGTGACAACACACGGCCTCTGAAGGTGTGTGTGTGTGTGTGTGTGTGTGTGTGTGTGTGTGTGTGTGTGTGTGTGTGTGTGTGTGTGTGTGTGTGTGTGTGTGTGTGTGTGTGTGTGTGTGTGTGTGTGTGTGTGTGTGTGTGTGTGTGTGTGTGTGTGTGTGTGTGTGTGTGTGTGTGTGTGTGTGTGTGTGTGTGTGTGTGTGTGTGTGTGTGTGTGTGTGTGTGTGTGTGTGTGTGTGTGTGTGTGTGTGTGTGTGTGTGTGTGTGTGTGTGTGTGTGTGTGTGTGTGTGTGTGTGGGTGGCCATCTGTCAGGTATAAACTCACCTCCACCTTATATAGAAACAGGGGTCCTTGTTGCTAGGAGATCTTTAGCCTGGCAAAGACTGCTTACACAACACTCACTCTCTCCCTGACAATTAGAGTAGAGCAGACGGGGGAGAAAAGGAAATCACAATGTACATCCTGAAACCACTTTTGTGTCATTATACATGGATTTTACATTCAATGTTCAGGAAGGTCAATTGTATTTATACAGACGAACATCAATCACTAATTTGCCTCAAGGGGTTTTATAATCTGTGCAGTTTATGACACCCTCTGTGCTTTAGACTCAGATAGAGATAATACCCCCACAGAAAGAGATAAATACAACAAAGTGTAACAAAGGAGAAGCCCCTTAACTATAGTGTTCATTTCCTGCCTTAATACTATAGCAACAACTACGACTGACTTTAATGATTTGATTTATTTTATAGGATCAAGTCAGACATCCACTATCTTCATTTTCAGCTAATACTCATTGCTTTTGTCCTTTTTGACACTGTTGACCACAGCATATTACTAGACCGACTGGAAAACTGGGTGGGACTTTCGGAAACAGTTCTGAATTGGTTTGAATCCTACTTAAAGGACAGAAACAACTTTGTTTCTATAGGTAAATACACATCTGAGTTGACAAATATGACATGTGGGGTTCCTCAAGGCTCCATCTTGGGGCCTCTTCTCTTTAACATCTACATGCTACCACTGGCTCAGATAATGAAGAACAACAAAATAAGTTACCATAGCTATGCAGATGACACACACATTAACGTAACAATTTCACCAGGAGACTATGCTCCAATTCAAACACTGAGTAAGTGCATTGAACAAATCAATGACTGGATGTGTCAGAACTTTCTCCAATTAAACAAAGATAAAACTGAAGTAATGGTTTTTGGAGCCAAGGCAGAACGTATAAAAGTTAGCGCTGAGCTTCAGTCTGCAATGTTCAAAACAACAGATAAAGCCAGAAATCTAGGTGTAGTCATGGACTCTGACCTGAGTTTCAACAGTCACATTAAAACAGTTACTAAATCAGCCTACTATCACCTAAAGAACATATCTAGGATTAAAAGACTAATGTCACAGCAGGATTTGGAAAAACTTGTCCATGCTTTTATCTTCAGTAGACTCGACTACTGCAATGGTGTCTTCACAGGTCTCACTAAAAAATCTATTAGGAAGCTGCAGCTGATTCAGAACGCTGCTGCTCGAGTCCTCACTAACACTAAGAAAGTGGATCACATCACTCCTGCTCTGAAGTCTTTACACTGGCTTCCTGTGTGTCAAAGAATAGATTTCAAAATACTGCTGCTGGTTTATAAAGCACTGAATGGTTTAGGCCCTAAATACATTTCTGATCTACTGCTAAATTATGAACCATCCAGATCTCTCAGGTCTTCAGGGACTGGTCAGCTTTCTGTCCCCAGAGTCAGAACTAAACATGGAGAAGCAGCGTTCAGTTATTATGCTCCAAATATCTGGAACAAACTCCCAGAAACCTGCAGGTCCGCTGCAACTCTGACTACTTTTAAATCCAGGCTGAAGACTTTTCTTTTTGTCGCTGCTTTTAATTGAACTATTCATATCTTAGACTGCACTGTAACTTTTATCCATGTATTTTTTCTTTTAATGTTTATTTTATTAGCTTTTCTTTTTAATGACTGATTTTAAATGCCATTTTATTAATCTCTTTCATTTTTTGTAAAGCACTTTGAATTGCCTTGTGTTGAAAAGTGCTATATAAATAAACTTGCCTTGCCTTGCCTATGTGCACCTGCTGTTGAACTGGATCGAATTGAAGTGCAGGTGCAGCTTTTCTGATAAGTCTGAAGATAGCGAGGTGAGGTTTTAGACCAAACAGCAGCTCCGTTTGATGTGTTCCCAGTTTCTCTGCTGCCTGTATGTGAGCAAGCAGTCAGTTAAGGTCAACCAAAACAAAATGAGATGTGACAGATTCAGGTGATGTGCTGTTGTGTCTGGCTGTGCTGGTTAATACACTCCACAGTGCGCTACACCCAGCCAACAGCTGACAGTGTGTCTACAGTACACAGGTGGTGCCAGAGGCTTTATCAGTGAGCTGTTTGTTTAACACACACATTACCTCTGCAACAGTTCAGTGAATTCTGCTGAAGTTTTTCTATACTTTATATCTCGAGTCCCATTTGTGCCGAACATATCTATGTGTGATGCTTTACTGTTACATTTGATTGTGTTGTGACTCATGAGGTTTCAACTTAATGGGAACAAAGGGCAACACACCTCAGCAGTGTGACGGCACCTACAGTATATCACTATGAAGTGCGTGTGAATGGAAATGAACTCTTAATAGTTAAAGTTTTTACGAAGGCGTTTAGACAGTCCAGTCCACATTTTGGACCGTGAAACTGTTCAGTTTTCTGTCAATCATTAGCTCTGGAAACTGTCCACCTGATAATATTTATAACTGCTGCTTGAGATGATTACCAAGTCTCTGAGTATGAGTATTGTTTGTGTTTTAAACATACAGCTCTGATCAATGAGTTATATAGTGTTAATCAGGGTTCTTACGGTCATTAAAAACCTGGAAAAGTCATGGAAATTCAAAGTGCTAATTCCAGGCCCTGGAAAAGTTATGGAAAACAATATTTTTCCCAAAGTTTTGGAAAAGTCATGGAAATTTAACTGAAGTTGCATCAAATATAATTTGTTTTATCTAATCGCAGAAATAGTAATACTATAATGATAATAAATGCCGTATCGTATAGTAATGAAACGTAAAATGGCATTTAACTGTCGAGGTATTTTGCTGGTGAGAGATTTTAGTTGCTTAAGCTGTAGAAGCTAAGTATGTTTTATGCACAACATGTTTCATATGCAGACCTTATTTTCCTGTTCCATGTTAAAATAAACCATTTTCAGTGGTACTGCTGAGAAAGAGTCATTTTTTTGGCCATGGAGAATTAGATAAAGGTCATGGAGAAGTCATTGTAAATCATTGGTGAAAAAGTGTATGAACCCTGGTTAATGATGAGTAATATGGTCTTTTTATGGTTGCTTATTTGTTCAGGCATAGATAATAAATCAAAGTAACATGACAAGTGCTGCATATTTGATATTCAACACATCTGTTCTAAACAACAGAAATACTAGTCTCCCAGATTACATTTTAGTCCTAGGTCAGGTCAGAAAGTGTTTCATGTTGACATAACGTGGAAGTCTGCAGGCATCAGAGAGTGTAAAAACACACACCAATCTTTTGTCGATGATTGATGCTCCGCTCTTCCTCTGTGTGCACTGGCCATTGTTTGTTTTAAAACAGTTAATGTTCACATGCTGCTGGTTCATTCGGTTCTCCTGCAGAGATGTCATTTCTGCTTTTTTTTAGTATGAAAATATTCGGTGTTAATCGTGCAAACACTGATGGATGAAGTTTCTCTTTCTTTACCATCAGGTGGATAAAACATATGAGATAAGGCTGGATTAAAAAACTGATTTTTCGCCGCAAACAGGAAATAGTTTTAAATAGCTGTTACACTCGTCATGTTTTGAGAGTTGAATTGTCTAACCTGATGCCTCCTCTGTTTGCAGCTCTCTGGCGGCTGCGAGCTGACGGTCGTCCTCCAGGACTTCACAGCAGGATGCAGCACGGAGATGTCCGTCAGCACCGGTGAGAGGAAGCTTCCCATCCTGTCCACACACTTATTTTTGGATCTGCCTGTTCATTCGATGTTTAGTTTAAATACTGTAGGAAGATTGGGCTAATGTATGCCTGCTGACATTTTATCGAGGTTATTCAGTTTAGTTTGGGTTAATCTGTTTTTGTTTTTTTTGTGGATCACTCCATTCTTGCAATAATTGTATTTCCATCATGAATCCATTTTAATACATTGTTTTGTTGTTTTATATATTGCAGTACAATGTGCTCATTTTAACTAAACTTCTTATATACATTATTGTATTCTATTTCATTTAATATTTGTATTGAACATTTTAGTTTAACTAGCAATGTTCATTTTTTATTTATTTTATCTTTTTAATGCACATTTGTACTTTAACCTCTTATGGTATTATAAATATCTTCACTTTTTTATGGTTTCTTTGTATTTTTTCTTTTATTATAAAATGGTGCAACTGTTACAAACCCTCATTTCCTCCCATGATAATTGAAGTATTCTGATTCTCCGTTAAACATCCGTCTGCTCCTCTCTCTCCAGGCCAGACGGTGGAGCTGTTGGAGCGGCCGAGCGAGCGCCCCGGTTGGTGTTTGGTGCGGACCACCGAGCGCAGCCCCCCCCAGGAGGGTCTGGTTCCCAGCTCCGCGCTCTGTGTGTCCCACTCGCGCTCCAGCGTGGAGATGGACTGCTTCTTCGGCTCGGGGAAAGGTAGGAAGGACCAACCTGAAGTCCAAAAAAACTCTTGACCTTTACCCTCACCTGCTGCTCTATCTGAGTTTATGACTTGGTGTACAACGATAAGGATAACCTCTCATTGCTCTGGTGTAAGAGGAAAAACGTCTCTCTCTAAGGATATCATACACATAGAGAAGTACAAGGTAAAATTATATAAATGAAATTCAAGAATGAAGGAATTACATTTGTATTCTGGTTCAGGATTAGCATATTCCCAAAGCAGAGACTCAAAAACTATTTATATGCACACATTTCCCTCTCTTGAATTCCACACAAATTAACTAATACATCAAATAGTTAAAGTACAAGTGGCCAGATTGGACAGATTTGAGTCATACATTAGGGTAGTTGGAGAAAGTCCAGCTTCAGTATTTATCCTGTTGTTCAGTTACTCCTAAAATGTTGTTACATTCAAAAATGGGAAATTCAACCACTCCCATAGAATACAAACTTTGTATCAGGCTTTAGTCAGTCTGAAGAAGAAACATTTATTTCCTTTTGTCAGATTCAAGTAATATGATCTGTATCGACCTCTATTGGTGAGATGTGGGCATTGCAGTATTGAAGAAACCTGTCTTGCTCTAGAGCTGCTGAAAGAAGTCCTTAAAAAAGATCACGTATGTGGTATTTATTGAGGAATAGCTATAAGTGGATGATCTCTCAATCCGTCTGTGTGAGCATGTGGATGATTTCTCCATTGAAGCAAATATTTCTTTTATTTTTAGACTAATGTTTTAGAAATGTACTTGAAAGCTAAAGTTGGCTTTGTTGTTTTTACCACCTTTTATAAAGACTAAAAGCTTAAATTACATTATTATTACGTTTCTGGGCATTTTTTAATCCGATACATTTTAAAGGAGACATTTATCACCTGTACAAGCACACACACAGTGTTCCTGGTCTATCCTACAGGGGGCGCTGTGGAACTGCTTTTTACACCTAATCTCTAAACTCAGACTATGAATGCTTCACACAGCAGATTGTTCCAATGGTGTCTGTGGATGTCTCGTGATGAGGATGCTTACAGATGAGCTGATGTTGCTACAGTAGTTTCCCTACAGTAGCATCCAGAGTCATATTGTTCGTATTGCTGATGAAGGCAACAATGATAGCTCAACACACACAGATATTTAATTTCTTATCACCTCATCAGCGCTCTCTGAATACCAAAGTTTTGACAAACCAACCCTAACCATCCTCCCACCCACATGCACACACACTTTCCTGGTGTAAATCTCCTTCCTGTAACCCAGTTTACAGTTTTGTTTTGCCAAGTGTTATAACCATGAGGAAGGAAGTTTGTATGTGAGGGTGATTCCTCTCCTCCCCTGTAGATACACACACAAACACACACACACACACAGTGCGGGATCAGCTGATTTGCCTGCCGCAGCCATGCTATGTCCTCGTCATGAAAAGGATGTTTTGTGTTACTGTGAAGAGATGCAAATTAGATTAGTGAAGCAGCTACTCATGGAAATAAGCACACACACACACACACACACACACACACACACACACACACACACACACGTTCGAGACACACGCCCAAGGGCAAAAGTGGGACATTAGAATTGTATTGTTCTGAAGGGATATGTTAACCAAGCTTCTACATTTCACCCACATAAAAACAAAACAACATTTGGTTAATAGTTTGCGTAGTGACTTTTCTAAAGCTATTGTTATTTTTGTCTTGTCAGTTTACAAGGCAATGGGTAGTGGTTAGCCCAGCTTCATACAGTCCAGTTCTTTTGTGGATTAAAGCAAAACTACTTGGTAAGGTTAAGAAAATATTTTGGTTACATTATGTAATGTAAAAAAAAAGACACAACTGTTTTTGTGTTAACACTGGACACAACCTGCAGTCTCTTTGGTGAATGTCCCGTGTGTGTTTGCAAGTTTAATAAGAAGACCAACACGTTAAGTAAGCTCAATCCTCGGGACATCAACAACTGTCACCCAGAGACTCACAACTGGTTCGGTTTTGATTTTTAAAGAAGATTGATGTCTGGACGTTTTTTCCTCATTAGATATTAGATGCTCCTTACTAATAATCAAATGTAAACGTTTTGAAGTTATTGTAACTTAAACTTAACCACAACTAACTTAGGTTACCTTAACTACAACAGTGTATCTTAACACATCCTGTAGAACATTGGAGAGAACAGGTTGAAAATACACACTGTGCTTTTTCTTTATTTTAGCACAGAGTGAGCTGCAGGAGTGTTAGAGTTGTGGGTGTCAATGCAGGAGTAGAGATAATCCAAAAGAAAATAGTATGCAGACATTTTGTATCACTAAAGGTTTCAGGGGACATTGGAGGAAATAACCCTTCACATATATCAAACACTGTGCTGTACTTTTCTATCTTTACACCAGAGTCATTTCAAGATAATAGCAATGCAATCTTGAAAACACTAAAAGTCCAGGCCTCAGTATCTTGCATTGTTTGTTAAACCTTGCTATGTAATTGAGTCCAGCTTTATACATTATTTTAAGGGTAGAATTACCAGTTTTCACAATAATTTGCTCTGCCTTTTTAACATGTTGTGTAGCAAGAGCGTTATCACATTTAGAACATACAGTAGGCCATGTCCCACAAAGCTCACTTTAGTTTCAGCATTGCTAGTTTGATAGGAAGGCTCCCCCCCTGAATATGATCACCTCACATAATTGTTTGATTGTTTTAAAGCAGAATCAGGCAGAGCCCCCATCTGCTTTCTTAACCGGGAAGTGTCTTGAGGCTGTTGAGGAATGTAATTAACTCTCCTCTGTTTGGTAATGAATGAGTCAAACTGTTAATTAACCCTGAAGAGACATAGCTAATTAAATGGACGGGATATAAACTTCTGCCGAGTTGTTTAGAGCTCAAGCCTCTTCCTTGTCGGCCCATTCTCATGTGTGTGAGTGAGTGTGTGGTTGAGTGTGAATGGGTGTGTGTGTATATTTTGTGTCTTGTGACTGCTCTGTAAAGTAGGTCTTCTTGTCCTCTCTGAAGGACTGTGAAGCTTTTAAGTTAACAGAAATAAAATCAGTCACAATGGAGTTTTAAAATCCCCCAAAACAGATGAAACTATAGTAATATAGTAATATATATATATATATATATATATATAGCTCTAACTCTTCCATCATTTCATTCATAAAAGCTAATACCGGTGAGTAAGAGTTATAATGTACTATACGTTGTCTATCCCTTATTTATGAGATTTGAAATGTCATAAAGAGCTATTTAGATGGACTTTCTGAAACTGACCCACTGCTGTAATATTGTGAAGTCATTGTTGCAGTAGTTTATTATGAAGTCCTGCTGCATGTCATCAGATGAAGTGTATAAAATGGGACACTGCAGGGGAAGAGAGCTGCTGGAAGCACTTTATCTGGGCTAAGTGCCTGTGTGTTGTCGTACCTGCTGCAGTGCAAATTGAAATGCTATGATAATGACGTATAAGGATACAAGGAGAGGGAGAGATGTTAAATTGTGGTCACCTCTAGCACACATATAAATATAAGCTTTAATAAACTGCAACTCATTATTCTGATGTAGAGAGGATTCATCTCATGTTTACAAATATGTGTTTACTTAATTTCTTCCACTCAGGGTATAAATATAGTCATCAGATATCAGATCGTAAATCTTTCATAACAGAATATAATATGATTCCAGCTTAATTTACACCATGTGAGCAAATGGGCAATACATTAATCTAATGTCTTGTTATTTACAAATATCCTTGAGATTCTGGAAAGATCTTTAAGAAAATTGAGATTGATGATGGGGATTTCGGGTTTGTTACACAAGTAAAAAGCAAGTGAGTGTCCATCCCCCTCACGATGGTTAGCTATTAGATAGATTAAAGGAGTTTATGACTGGTAGCTCACTGGTTTGATCTCCATGTCAGCAGGATAAATATGTCTGGAGAAAGTGTCCAATATTTAATTTTAGCTGTTTTGGCAAATATCTGGATTTTTAAACTCTCCACTGTGTTCACCAACTTTGTTGTTGACCAACAAACTGCTGTCCAACAGTGTTAATGCTTGATAAACAAATATTTAGCCTGCATTATTCAGCCAAAAGTGTAGCAAATGCAGCTCGTTGTCACAACAGAGATCTGCTGTATGCCGGAGTTATGGCTAACTCGTATCAGAAACTTGAAGCAGGCAATGTTTTAAAGTTTATATCTGTAATAAGAACACTTCTCTCTCTTGCATGCACACGCACACACACACACACACACGCACGCACACACACACACACACACACACACACACACACAACACAAACACACACACACACACAGCGTGTTGGAACCTGAGTCCCTTGTAGCCATCCACAATAATTAACACTGACTTCTGTTCCAGAGAAGTCAGTGTGTTGGGGAGGGAGGGAGGGAGGGAAACTCAACAACGTGTGTGTGTGTGTGTGTGTGTGTGTGTGTGTGTGTGTGTGTGTGTGTGTGTGTGTGTGTGTGTGTGTGTGTGTGTGTGTGTGTGTGTGTGTGTGTGTGTGTGTGGTGTGTGTGTGTGTGTGTGTGTGTGTGTGTGTGTGTGTGTGTGTGTGTGTGTGTGTGTGTGTGTGTGTGTGTGTGTGTGTGTGTGTGTGTGTGTGTTGTGTGTGTGTGTGTGTGTGTGTGTGTGTGTGTGTGTGTGTGTGTGTGTGTGTGTGTGTGTGTGTGTGTGTGTGTGTGTGTGTGTGTGTGTGTGTGTGTGTGTGTGTGTGTGTGTGTGTGTGTGTGTGTGTGTGTGTGTGTGTGTGTGTGTTGTAGGCTCCTCCCCCCCCCCTCTCTCTCTCTCCTCTCTCTGTGTGGTGGATGTCAGCAGTGTGGACTTCAAGCTCTTGGTGTTCACACACTCAGTCAGACAGTCTGATTAACAGGTTGATCCAGCGCCTGGAGAGTGTGTGTGAGATAGAAAGAGTGAGTGAGGTGTGTCAGTGTAGGATGTGTATGTGAGGGAGGATGAAGAGGGGTCGG